ATGGTGATCTTAGCTCCCCCGAGTTCTCCCTACTCACACGTCTTTTCGAACAATCACTGTCAACCTTATCGTAATTAAGTGATGGGGGACAGACGGACAAAGTTCTCTGTGAGGGTGGCAAATTTATCAGACCCAGGAATAAGTTTCTGTTTAAAAGAAGATATTTGTTAAAATGAACAAAAGCCTCTGAATACTTTTTTTTTTTTTTAAAAAACCCTGTTTTTAACAAATATCAAGAATAATATTCATGGATGCTAAAATACAGCAAGGATTTGGGTTTCATGACAGAATTGTAGATGTTTCTGTTGGTTATAGGAGAGGATTGTTTTTTCCATTTGTCATGGCCCTACCTTTCTAAGAAGGCTGCTGTGGTGTTGGTATCAAAGTGATTAAGAATCAAATTGTGCCTTTTGAGATTTAAAATGGCAGTCACTTTTGGCATGCATCCTGGCTCATGTCATAGGCTTTGTAAGAAACTGGAATTCACTGGTAGATCCTGTGTGTTCTCATAAACCTTGTGAAATGCATGGTGACTGTATTGCAGAATATTTGGTAGATGTCTCCTGTTATAGCCTCATTAATCATTGAATACTACTACTTTGCATTGCTGAAGCCTTTTCTTTGCCTCTGCTAGAAGCCAGGCCATCTATCATAAGAGGTGATCATGTATGAGATAACAGCAATGGAGTAATAAAAACATTCAGTAAGACAGGCTTAATAGTCAAGTCAGTTACTTGTGTTTATGGTCTGCATTTTGACATAATCAGGGTCTCTTAAAGACTCATGAAGTAACCTTAGGCCCAAACAGGCTGTCCATTGATCAGATACTACTGCAACATACTTAGATTGTGCTCTTGAAGTTGGGGAAATATGTCTAGGGTGCCAAGGTCAGAGGACTTGTTTTAAGTAACACAGAAGCAGTTAAAAATACAGGTGTAACATTTTGCTCTTTTCTGAGACCCTTTATATGTAACATCTGTAAAGGCACCTCTCTGTAGTGTTCTGAGGTAACGTGTTATGCTGCCTCCTTCCTTCCTTAGCTTATTTATATTTGGTTAGAATGACCAAACAGTCAGCACGTGGGGGTGGCTGTGAGGTAAAAAGAGATTCTTTACTATAAATGAAACAATCCCCCCAAAAAAACATATAGTTTATTTAGAAGTATAACAGCATAACGGTTTTAGTAAAGGTGATAAGTATAATGGGTTCAGATAGGTAGTTGTTCTTTCTCTGTTTCCCCCCCCAACAAATCACAGCTGACTTATGACAACCCGGTAGGGTTTTCAAGGCAAGAGCCATTCAGAGGTGGCTTGCCATGGCCTGACTCTGCATAGCAACCTTGGTATTCCTTAGTAGTCTCCCATTCAAATACTAACCAGGGCGGATCCTGCTTAGCTTTTGAGATCTGACAAATAAGGGCCCTGGCCAGACGTGCCGGAAAACGCACGGGGGGGAGTGCGGCTATTTGCGCTGTCGCATTCTGATGCGCTATATGCGATCAGACCTGACAGCGGCTTCCCCGCAGCAAAGAGGACGACGGGGGGAGGAAGCTGCGTGCCGGCACGATCACACCGGGAGGCCTCCATATGCGGCTTGTGGCAAAGCGTTTGCTAGTACATGCGGTGTACTAGTTTTTTACTGTGCTGCTTCGGCAGCTTGCCACGGGGTCGCCACGGGGTCGCCACAGGAGTGCTACGCCTCCCAGATGTTCCCGTGTGATCGCGCCCGGATACTCCTCGGGACTCCCATGCCTTCTGTGGGGTAAATGCTCCGTGTGACCGGGGCCAAGGCTAGCTATCCAGGTCAGGGATCTTCTTTCTCTAAAGGTCCTTAAATAGATCTAGCCACAAAGGTTTATTTTCTCATTTGCCACTTTGGCTAATACTTCCACAGAGCTTAATTTCCTGACGTGACACTTAGGCTAATAACTTCCACAAAGAACACAGATTTCTCTCATACTCCACAGCACTCTCAGCTCACTTCTCTGATGCACACTCATCAAACTCACTCTCCCACAAACAAGTCAGCTCTGTCCCCAGAGTACAGCTACCATCCAAATCATAATACACTTCAATCACTCATCCAGTCCCCCTCTTTTTTACTCTAGTCTTGCCCTTTAAACCACAGCAACATAATATAAAACCCTACATATCAAAACACTACAACAGGGATTGTTAAATATGGTCCCCACAAACATCTTGTTTGTAAACCTTACCATTTGTTTCAGATTTTGGGCTGTGGTTCATCTCACCCTTCAGAATCTGCCATCCCAAAATAAAGGTCTCCGGTACTAATTTGTATCTCTTTGGTCCTGATAAGTGCAGGGGCAGTTTCTGCCACAGCACTTTCTTGTTACCATTCAGGTTCAGTGAGACCAAATCATGGTGTAGTGGTATGTGGCTAAGAAACTCAAAGCAGAGGCTTCCGGCCGCGGCGGCGGGCAGTTTCTGCCACAGCCCTTTCTTGTTACCATTCAGGTTCAGTGAGACCAAATCATGGTGTAGTGGTATGTGGCTAAGAAACTCAAAGCAGAGGCTTCCGGCCGCGGCGGCACGAATGGCGACCGGGTCTCAGGATGCTCCTGGAGCCGGATTGCCCAAGCGCAGTCTGGGGGGGTCCCGCACAAGCGGAGACTCTAGGGAGCCCTAGTGGAAGGGCTCCTAACCAGGGGGTGCTTTGGGGAGAAGCCTCTTGCCGACCAGAAGGTCGAGAATTGAGGCTCTCCCTCTAGCCCAAACGGCCCCGGCTGCGACTTGCCCCTTATGGGGACTAGCAACGCCACCGGAACAGCGGAGTGGTGGAGCGCTAAAGTTGAGTCCGAACTTCGAGATAAGCGATGAACCATAAGTGGGCATTCAAAATAAAAGCGGCGGCATAAAAGGGCTTCACATCCCCAAGAAGCGGCAGGGAGGGAGGATTTCCCCCCCCAATATGAATAAGAGACTTTTTAAAGGCAAGGGAGGGGGCGAAGCAAAAAATCGTAAAAGCGTATTACCTTCTGAGAGAGAGAAGAAAGCGGAGAGGAGGGAGCCATCCCGGAGAGTTGCGGCAAGAACTTTTAAAGTGTAAACAAAGTTGCAACATGGCGGGGCCGAGAAAACTACTAGAGAAGCAGACGAAGACAGGAGGGACTTCCTGTTCAAGCCCTTCCCTTGCTGGAACTGCTGTCAATCAATAAGAAAGTGATCTTGCGCGCCATCTGCTGGAGGAACTGCAAAAAATCAACCAAAAACTAGACTCTATGGAAAGTGCCTTTGGACTTCAACAGAAAAAGATGACAGAGACAGCCGAAAAGGTAGACGACATTGCAAAGAAATGTCTGGCATCAGCAGAAGTACAGAAAGTTAAGAAGAAGGTCATCAAAGTGGAAAAGCACCAAGAAAAACAGGATAATAAACTGTTACTGCTTCAAATGGAGAAAGCGAATTTAACTCTTCGATTCGAAGGTCCCGTTTGAAATTAGAACGAAAAGAAAGGAATATAAAGGGTTGACCATGTTCTTACAAAATCACCAAACGAGTTACAAATGGTTGGTGCCCGAAGGACTGGTTTTCAAGTTCAAAGATAAAAGAGAGAAAATAGACTCTATCTTCAAGGCTCAAGATTTTTTGAAAAGGCACGCCAGCAAAGAAGAAGGGGCAGAACTTGGCCAAGTGGATGTCGGCATTAAGCGTGGAAGACAGCAGCTCGGAGGGAGAGGTGAAGGACGAGGAAGCTGGAGGAGCGACTGGTTCGAAGTATAACCTGAGAGAAAAAAGAGGAAAAGACCCCAAAGTCTAGAAACTCTTTCTTTTTTTCGGATTACGCTTTGAAAGGGAAATTAATCTCAGAAGGACATTATTAACATATTAATTGCTTTGTTTAACAGAACCAGAAGAAAAGAAGAGCGCCTGACTGCAGAAGAAATTATGGACTTTTAACTTTTAATACTAAAAGAATAATATACTAATATATTAACATCACTCAACACTTTTCTTTATCCCTCTATATACCCTTCCTATTTTTCTGAATTTTAAGCGAAATATCTCTCCTTTTCAGGAGAGAGAATAAAACATTTATATATAAAAAAAAGAAACTCAAAGCAGTGATGTGGAATATGTTGTGGTACTGGAGACATAATGTAAGAATGTATTATCGACAGCAGATTTAAACTCACGCAATAAGATTCTGATGACTATGAGATGTACACTTTATTGATAGTTGCAGAGTTAAAATGGATTGCTTTGGGTGTTATGAGGCGGCTGGGAAATGCCTGCCTCATCTTGGATAGTCCAAAGGCTGTAGAGGAAGTTTTCAGCCTTTCTGCCTGGTTCATCAGTGTCCTCCTGTAACTGACTAAACAGTGTAATCCTAGGCAAAGATTATAAGCCTGCTGGAATCACTGTACTAGAAGTGAGCAGCAGTGCAAGCCTCCTAATTCTTTTTCATTGTTGACTCTGTCAAGACCAAACTCTTCAGAGTAGTCATCTTGTTCTTTGTTTTTGTATTTTTGTATTTTTGATCACTGAAAGAATTTCTGAGCCATGATAATTACACATGTGACTCTTATGCCATGTTGGTAAATTAAAACACACTGCAGCAATCTTATTTCTTCGTCTCATGTAAAATCTCTCTATTATACCTGAACATAGTGCATAAAACTTGAGTGCCATACAAATATTGGAGCTTAAATCTACACCATTTGCAAGTGGTCAAAACATTTGTATTCTGTTCATCCTCTTTTCTACATAGCCTGAAGATTTATTTTTCTTTCCAGTAATTATTTTTTAAGTTTGCTGTTTCATCTTTCTGGCTAATGACCTTAGAGATTTGCTCAGTAGATGGAGATATGGTTAGAAATATTCATATTGGAAGTATTCACTACCAACCCCTATAAGCTAGATTTGAATTTTCTGCACTTTGTCACTGCAGCCAATACTGTTGTGAAGTTTTAATTTGGGACAAGTTCTTAACTCACTTACTTGCACTGTAATTAATATAAATGTATTATCTTATTTTAGGGGCGGCTTATTGCCAGTTCATGGATATGTTGTTCCCAGGGTGTATTAGCTTGAAGAAAGTAAAATTCCAGGCAAAGCTGGAGCATGAGTACATTCACAACTTCAAACTTCTGCAAGCATCATTTAAAAGAATGAATGTGGATAAGGTAAATGTATATCATTTTATATACACTTATGATTTTATATAGACTTACGATGAAAAGAAACTCCTATGAGATATTTTCTCTTTTAGAAAGACTAAATGCTTCTTAAGGCAAAGGTTTCCACACAATAAATGTATAGCATGAAAAGGTTTGAGGACTCTTTCAGTTTCCCCAGTGAAAAATTAGGAAATTTAGCAGAGCTGAAAAAACCTATGAAATATTTTATGTCAAGTGAGAAAAACCTTGTCTCACAAAGCATTTTATTCATTCTAAATGTACAGCATAAAAAAGTCTGAGGACCTCTTCAATTTCACCAATGGAAAAATTGGGAAATTTAGGGCACGGGGCTTCTGGGGAAAAAGCCTCTTATATGTGATATTTTCAAGAATTTTTCATTTGAATGTAATAAACGTGGCAACAATTAATTTCTTATAATATGTTTAATGACAATACATTATTATAGAGTTCATTGTTTTCATTAAGTCCTACCTATTGTGACTCCATAAGAATTTCTGTCCAAATAATAGATAAAAGTATGAGTCCAGTGGCACATTTAAGACCAACAAAGTTTTATTCAGTATATGAGCTTTTTTGTGCACTCACACTTCCTCAGATACATTGTATCTGTGCACAGGAAAGCTCATGTAGTTAATAAAACTTTGTTGGTCTTAAACATGCCACTGGACTCATACTTTGTTCTGCTTCTTCAGACCAACATGGCTACCCACCTGAATCTGTCCAAATAATACACTTTCTGTTGTATACAACAGAATTTTACTCTTGCCTTCAATGTTTATTTTTCCTACTTCTCAGATGGCAAAAAACCCCAAAATACATGTGGTGTATGGTAGCATAGGGTGCAGGAGTTTGCAGTTGCAAGTATTGAGGGTATACTTGTAGAAAATGACATTTACACTTCTAGATCCTATAAATATGCCATATAGTGCAATTTTATATGCTAACTAGAGATATAAAGGATGCATTTTATGCTGTTCAGTCAAGAGGAGGAGTTCAGGTTTGATTGGGAAGTATTGCATATATCTCAGTTTCTCTCCCCAGTTCCTGATTTTTTCTCTTAAAAGAGGCATTGGACTTGCATTAACAGTGCAATCCTAAATTGCTCTTGATTTAAATACATAGTAAATGTCTCTGTTGGTACTTAATGGTATAGATACAGAGAACTAAGCATGAATGATTAAGTGGTAAAGAGTTTCCCTATGATATTACCAGGTATTTCTAGGTGAGAACATAGTTAAAGAGTGGTATATATTTTAAGATGATTGATATGAACCAAATGATACAGATTGCAAAGCTTTGTGTAATTCCAGTTAAGGTAAAGGTTCCCTTGCTCGAAAGCCAGTCGAATCCGACTCTAGGGTTGCGGTGCTCATCTCCGTTTCAAAGCCGAAGAACCAGCGCTGTCCAAAGACATTTCCGTGGTCATGTGGCCGGCATGACTAAACACCAAGGTGCACGAAACGCTGTTACCTTCCCACTGAAGTGGTACCTATTTATCTACTTGCAATTTCTTGCTTTCGAACTGCTAGGTTGGCAGGAGCTGGAACTAGAGACGGGAGCTCACTCCGTCATGCGGCACACTCGGGTCTCGAACTGCTGAACTACCGACCTTCCACAGCCTGCAGTTCAGCGTCTTAACCACTTGAGCCACCACAGCTCCTGTAATTCCAGTTAATGTGTCATAAATTAACAGCCAAACTAACTAGCTAGTAATATGCAGACAGTATTACTTTTGCTCTCTAGTTAACATTTTGTTCTACATTATCTTGTGATAAGTGCATTGATGCTTTGGGAGTTGCAGTAGTGTTGAAATACTTCATTTGTCACGTTATAATGCTCTGTTTAATACATCTTGCTCTGTTTAATACAGGTTATTCCAGTGGAGAAATTGGTAAAGGGGCGCTTCCAAGACAACTTGGATTTCATTCAGTGGTTTAAAAAGTTCTTTGATGCTAACTATGATGGGAAAGAATATGATCCTGTGGAGGCCCGACAAGGTCAAGATGCTATTCCACCACCTGATCCTGGTGAACAGATCTTCAATTTGCCAAAAAAATCCCATCATGCAAACTCCCCAACAGCAGGTATTGTCTGTAGTTACCAAATTTTTCTTTACTACAATGGTACTTGCTGAATGGAATATTTACTATAAATGGATCAAATGATTAACATGGAATCATGACAACTGCATCACAGTGTGACACTTCATGATGAGGTTCAGTGCTGTGTTGATGGGCTTAAGCTGTTATAATATGTAAAGTGGCATAGTGCTGTAGACACAATTTATTTGCTTGGCAAGTATTGTAAATCCACCCTGGTATTCTCTTTTCTTGTTGTGCTGTTGTCATAAATGGTTGTTAGTTAATCTTGGGCACTCAGAATTCTTCTGCTGTGACTGTCTCAGTTGTGCAGTTTAGGGTGTTTCACTTTGAATTGTTGATTTGTTGAAGCACACACCATTTCTCTAATTACAGGCTAGGCATAGAACTCAAATGTGGTGATATGCAGTGTTTGGTGATGGCTATTGCTGGTGGAAGGGGCTGCAGTGGCTCAGAGGTTAAGACACTGAGCTGCAGACTGGGAGGCAGCAATGGTTCCCCGGGAGGAAAAGTAGTCTTTCTCTGCAATGGGGACCAAAGCAGCTTACATCATTCTCTCCCGCTTTTGACTTGCACAACAACCCTGTGAGGTAGTTTAGGCTGAAAGTCTGTGACCAGTTCAAAATCACCCACTCAGCCTCTACAGCAAGAACCTGGATCTAGCAGACCCTGCTCTGAAGCACTGACTACTACGCCTAGGGCAGCCAACCTCCAGGTGGAGCCTGAGGATCACCAGGTATCACAACTGAACTCCAGACAACAGATTCTCCCCCCCCCCCGGAGAAAATAACTGTTCTAGAAGATGGGCTGTATGGCATTCTGTTTAGCTGAGGCCTCTCCCCTCCCCAAACCCTGGCTTCCATAGACTCTTCCAGAAAATCTCCAGGAATCTCCCTACCTGGAGCTGGCAACCCTCAGTACTGGCCCCAATGAGTTCCTCACAAAGGCCTTCAAAGGGTTTCCTTCCTTTGTCTGAACCGAGCTTGGTTGCCTACTGTGGCGAAACGGGCTCCAGTTTACCAGTCAGCTTTTTGCCTTCCACCCTCGTCCCGTGCGTGTATCTCATTCCTTAAATTCGCTGCCATGACTCACTGAATCGTCACTGCCTTTTTAGAGGGACAGTGAGACGACTCTGACCAAATCGTATTTGGAGATGGACTCCCCAATCTTTGGGGGATCCCTGGAAAGTTGGCAACCCAAGGGGTCTGGCCTTTCCTTGCCTCCTTGGGCTACCCCCTCCCTTTGTTATTGTGCAGAGACCTGGAGATTGGAAACAATGGTTCCCCAGGAGGAAATGGCTGGTTTGGAGGGTGGAGTCTACGGCACAGGCAGCTGGAGCCTTTCCTAACCTCCTGTAGGACAAAGACGGCCTCCTCCCTGGATGGGCTGCAGTCTCTATTGATGCCGCCCTGTGCGTTGGGACAGTCCCTGTTTTCCTGCCCTTTTCTGCTTTGGGGCAACTGGGAACTGTAGTCCAGCAGATGAGGAAGCCCCATTCAACCCAGTGAGTGAGACCTCTTTGGAACAACAGCTCAATTAAACCTTATGGCGGAACATTTTAAACAACCAACCACAGACAGCAGCCCAGCAGCCATCTTACAAACGCAGGTAACTGCCATTTTGTTACACCTACCAACAGCCACTGAGGGAAAAGTTAAGTCCCACACAGGAGGCAAGCAGGAGAATCGTCTTCGTCAAAGAGACAAAGCCATTTGCCAGGAATTCTGACAGGGCAGAGTGGAAGGGGAGTGGGCGGGGAAGAGCAGCACACCTGGCCAATGGCACGCCAGTAGCCTTGACTGGCAGCCGACGGGCCAATGGCTGAGGAAGCACATGCAATCTCGCCACCCCATAGGCCAGAAGCCACTACCATTCAGCAATTATATATAAGAGATATAGTAGCCTCAACATCTGGTACTATATTGGCTCAATACTTTTAAAAATTATTATTTTTCGTATTTTGTGTGTGGGTATGCCTGGAAGTCATGGTTGACTTCTGGTGACCCCTAGTGGGGCATGGCTGTTTCATAGAGGTGGCTTGCAATTTGCTGCCTCTGCAGCCTGGAACTGTTATTCCTTGGAGTTCTCCCATCCAAGAACTTGCCAGGGTCAGCCCTGCTTAGCTTCCGCAATCTTACTAGATCAGGATTGCCTGGGCTATCCAGGTCAGGGCGGTTCAATACTTTGTTTCAGTTGGCAGCTCAGGTGCTATATTAGCAGGATTGGATAATTGGGGTATATTTTTCCCATTAGCTGCATTTCAGTTTTTTATACAAGGACAAAATAAAAGCCCCAAAGTGAAGAATTAAAAGCTGTTAATCTGGACTTTCCTGCACAGGATGTTGGAAGTCTTTTGACCTGCCTCTTTTCTTTTAGAAATCCTGTGCTAGAGTTTACTGGAGTAAATCCCGTTGAACCCTTCTTAATTTAGAGGTGGTTCCCAGTAGAGTTCTTGCTGATTGGTGTAGGTGATCTTAAGGAATGGGAAGAGCTTTTTTTCTGTCTCTTCCATTATCTTTACAGGAAACTGCTAGCATAATCAAATTTTATAGTGACTGGAATGTTTCCAAATCTTAAGTGCTGGTCCAGTAGTAGAAAGTAAATCAATATACTTAAAAATATGTTGATATCTACTAAATGGAATGCAGTGATACCATTTAGTGATTTAAAAAAAAAAAACATTTTGGCTAAATTGATGGTATAGTTGTAAAATCTATAGGGAGGCCACAGGTTTTTTAAAAGCTCAAATCAGTAGTCTAATCATGGTCATCTGTGTTAGCCAAGAACCATAGAGAAGAAGTTCTGGGCTGGAGGAGGGTGATTGGCTGTGGCTATAGTCAGTATCCTGTGTTACTCTGGGGCTTGTGTTTTGCCTTTTCTGATGTATGGTCACCTATGGGCTATGCCATGGTTTTTGCTGGCATAACTTTCTGTTTGTGTGGCATTCCTGGGCTGGGGCAGCTTAGGGAGCCCATTAACTCTTGCCACACCACTGGGTCCAGCCCTTTCCCTACCAGTGTAGTAACTTGCACAAGTGTTGCTCTATTCTGATGCCATACTGGCATGCAGAGCCATTAGGGTGCTCCACTGGCACATGTTGAAAATATACTCCACTGGCACATCTTGGAGCTACACTGATGTTTCTGAGATATGCTATAATGCCTTGTCCGTCTCCCCCCTTGCACTGTAAGTGTAGCTGTATAATTTGTTTTGATAATTAGGGAATGTCTTAACTTATAATTATCTTGTGAGCAGGAATTAGTTGATAATTCTTATACCTTTAGGACATCTGATGACCTGTGTGTGTGTGTACGCGTGCAGACTCACTCAGAGTTGGTTTGACAGTGACCTTTCACTCAGGATGTCAGCAGATCTGGGAAAGATAAATCCCATTTGACTACGGAATAAACAATGATTCCTTTCAATCAAAAGTAAGTCTAGGATTACACACAACAAACTATGTACTTTCAGAACTAAAGCAGGAAATGCTCGTTCCTTAATGCTGCCATTGGCATTAATTTCATAGTTGCCTTTTTCTGAGAAATTTTGCTAATTAGTACAGACAAGGGGGGACCCGCGATACTCGCGGGGGGGGAGGCAGAGGAGGAAGCAGCAGGAGGAGGGAAGTACCCCCCCATCCTGCTGGTTCCCCCCTGTCCTCCACCCCCCTCCATCTCCCCCCCAGCTCCTCTTCCCCCGCCACCCGGTACTGAAGCCAGGGGCGAGCGGAGAGCC